TTCTCTTGCATTTCTCCCTTTTTTCTTCTCAATGACTCATACGTCTGAGTACGGAGAATCTTACCTCCCTTTAAAAGGAGCCGTTGAAGAGTATTATGAATCTATGTTATTCAGACAGCATAGGAAAGTACATGAATATTCACATCATCCATTCAACTGGGTCGATAGTTCATTTACTCCTATCCCAACTCAGGAAACCGTTCTTCCAAGATGTCACACTGAAGACAAAGTAGAACCAAAGTATTAAATATTGCATACATATATTTTTAAGAACTCTTGATAGCGACTATTGTCAGCGACTGGAAACGAATGAAGATCCCCGATTGTGTGATGAGATGATCCGTAAGTCTAATAAGGCACATTATCCCCAGAAACTGAAAATTCTTCGGAAGAAAATTCAACTTTTCCTGTTACTGAGAATGTTAATAACGAAATCGATCGCTTCCACGGTTCTTCTGCCCCTAGTGGATTGCCACAAAGCAAAACGCAACCTAAACCTAAAGTTTTTATTGCTTATGGATTTGGGGACCGTCACAATCAAAATGTTGGTCATAAAAAAACGTTCAATGTAAATTCAAGTCAGGATGTAAATCACTAGCCTTTAGCATTTTCATGAGTTAACTATTATTATAATATTCTATTCTAAATAATTGTAGGTATATCCTTCCGCTCTGCGCGCTCAAAAACGCCGCGAGCAAAGTGGCGGACTTTACGCTCGATGCGATGCCTTCAGAGGTCTTTCTCGGGCTCCATCAGGCATTTCGTGTTTTCGGTCTAACTCTTGTGTAAATGAGTGTAAAATCCAAAATAGAGTACGGTTGCCGAATAAAGAAACTAAAAAAAATATTCCGAATTCACCATTTCGAGAAAGTGGTAGTGGAAAACCGTTTGCGGAAACCAATGATAAGCCTCTTAAGTTTGTCAGAATGACCAATTTCAATATGGCAAAGTTAAAGTAAATCCACTTTTTACTTATTTAATTACGTTTCTTGCTATCTTTCTAACATAAAATTTTTATAGCGGTCCAATATATGTACACCTGAACGAGTTACTGGACAACTCTAACAATGAAAACCTATTCGACTCTGGAAAGCATTCTCCAGAATCTCCTGACTTGTCTCAACTTCGTGTATC